CCCCCCCGGCGCCGAAGCTTCCCGCAAAGCCGCCCCCGAAGCCTCCTCCCAGGCCCCCGCAGAAGCCCCCGGCGAGGCTGCCGGCGCTCATGCCCCCGCCGTAGCCGATGCCGCACGCTGCCCCCGCGGAGCTGCCGCCGATCACGGAGGAGGCGTAGCGCCGGCACGAGGCGGAGGAGCTCCTGCCGCCGGCCCCGGCGCAGATGCCTCCCCCGCCTGCGCTGCGGTACGAGGTGCTGGATGTCCTCTTGATGCTGCAGCTCATGGTGAGAGGTGGATGTGGCGACAAAAGCCGAGCCTGCTGCGAGCCCGATGCAGAAGTGGAAGCGCTGCCTCCTGCCCTCGCCGGGGCCTCTTTATACCTCACCGGGTGGGTGTCACCTCCAGGCAGTGCCGCTTCCCATGGGGTTTGCCAGCCACAGCGCTCATGCCAAAAGTGATGAGCTAAGGGGAATTTCTTTTGGGACCTGGGACGGCCCTCCCCATAGGTATTGTGTTTGCAATGCTGATTCACACAAAGCGCGCTCTATAATTTGGGGTGGGTGGCTGTGTGTTAGATTTTGTTTCAGATAGCGTGTTGCTGGCTACTTCATGAGTGAAACTTATTTTAATAGCTCCTCTTTGATCCTTGCCATTTTTTTTGTCCTGAGCAGGGCTGCTGAAGGCACCGCTGTGTTACCTTTCAATTTTAGAGTTGGAGAAATATGAATTCAGGTCCCTTAATTTTGCTTTTTTTTTTTTTTTTGGAAACAACATCTCTGAGGTTTAGCTGCTGTCCTGCAGTGGAAGCTCATCTTGTGCAGCGTCTTCATGGTGTTTATTGGTAAATCTCAGTAGAACTGCTGAGGAGGCGGAGTTCCCGCTTCACCAAACTGGTTCCATCTGCAGGAAATAACCTGACGTTCTGCACAGAGCAGAGGACGTGCAAGAATGTCATTTTTAAAGCTGTGCTTTTTAATTTTTTGTCTTTTATGTTCGCTGGTTTCCAGGCTATTCTAAGCAGAAGGGGAGGTGTGGAGTTTACACCACTGAGTGTCTTGGGAGAGGACAGTAAGCGGCTGCAGCTTTTCACCTTAGCAAACAGAAGGCTGAGACTTGCTGCTATGGAAGGAGATGCTGCTGCCATTTAAAATAAAGACAGTTCTGTTGTCCACAGGGAAGGATGTTGTCTGGCATTGAGTGCTGGAAATGAGGGAAAGCGCTTTGTCCATGGAAGCAAAATGGTTTGGAAGGTGCCTCTGCTGTGGGAGTTTGATGGCGGAGGAGGCAGCTGTGAGGTTGGCCTTGGTCTGTTATGGGAGGCATTTATTCTTCACATAATGGACTCAGCTGTGACCCCTTCAATCCCCAGTGCCTTCTGGCTTTGGTGCAGTGGCACAATCACAGCATTTGTTGGAGAACAGGGCGGGAAGAACCCTTCTTTGCAAATGGGATTTTGCCATTAAATCGCTTCTGGAGAGCATACATTTTAAGCCTGAGAGGCAGGAGGCTCTGTACAGGAGAGGGAAACTGATGGAATTCATCTCTACCAGTTCTCCTTGTGGGTTTCTTCACTGATGGTCCTCCTTGCTTCAGGTTGTGGCTGGGGCAACATTCTGTCTGTTGGCCAAACCAGTTCTGAAGCCCATAAAATCACTGGTGTGTGCAGTAATTGACTGAGAGTCACGGAAAGCCGTTCACCCTCCTCTTGGTACCACTACACATGTTTCATAGATATGCTGGAGATCATTTGATACTTTGATCTTTGTAATTAGGGTTGTTCATTTATTAGTAGCTCTCTAATTATCTGCACGTCAGAACCAGTTGCTTTGCATATCTGGGACTGAGTCATCATTATTAAAAAAGAAAAATGATTTTCTCACAGGGTGTGATTCCTTACTCATATTTTCCCCATTAGATTGTTGAAATGCTCTTTTATTCTTCCTTATGAGATGTTTATTGCTGATTGGCATTGATGCCAGAGGTGTTGATTTTATATCTGCTTCTCGGTATTGTTGCATCATAACATCTGACCCAACAATTCCAAACATTTCCCAACGCTGCAATTTCATGCCATCGACAGAGACCTTTCCTATGGCTCACCGTCCCTCTTTTCCTTTTTTTTTTTCCTAACACAGTCATGGCTGTGACTGTATCACAAAGATTTACATTTCAGTCCTGTTCTCCAGCTCCTTTCCGTGTCCCACTCCGTTTTGGTCCCGCGTGCCGTGGCTCTGCTTTGGGCTGAGGGAGCTGCAGGGCTGTGTTGGAGGCACACAGATGCTCAGCACTCCTAAAAGCACCATTTCCTGGGCTGCCATCGGCATTCAGAGCCCTGCAGTGGCAGGAGGAGGTCGGCCTGTGGCTGCTGTGAGTGGCACAGGGGCTCCTCAGCTCCATGAGGAGACGGCGAGATGCTGACATCGCTCCTTCCCCCGGGGGACTTTTTGCTCACAATCAGAAAAGTTGATCTGAAGTAGCAGTGTTTTGAAAACTTTCTAATTGCTGTTTACTGACTGGTGAAATTGGGCTCAGAGCCACAAACAGATGCTCTGAATTGGCAAAAGAATCAAAATATTCAGTGGTTTTCACAGAAACCATGATGCCATCACTGGATGTATGTCTTTGGTCTCACAAGGGGAGAGGACGGCCTCCGAAGCATCTCCTGGCAATTAATTGTTCTGCAATGAAGGAGTGCCCTCGTCTTGGTCTGAAGCGCGCTTCTCTGATCTGCTTCAGCAGGAACTCCATCACAGTGACCCAAACAGAAACTCCATACTGCCAAAGCCCTTTTTATTCCCTGCAGCTCTCTGCAGAGCAATACACGTCTCGTATCGCTCCTCGAGCAGCCGTGGCTGTGCTGCAGTGAGAGCCGGAGCAGCCGTTGGGAGGCAGGTGGGCCCAGCCCTGCTGACAGCACTGCAGCGTGTGCTGCTTTCTGCACAGCTCCGTGTGCTCCATCATCTTCCCTGGGACGACTCCTGCTCCGCACCGGGGCAGCTCAGCGCCCACCGCGCCAGTGGCCGCACGCAGAGGGTGTCAATGGGAGAACTCAGCCGTGATGTCGTTCTGCTGGCAGTGGCAGTTTATGGGACGGCCATTCCTTTCAGAACATTTCTCACAGCTTCGGTTTTCCAGATGTAGCTGGGAGCTGCCATCTGTTTCACAGCCCCCACACTCTTACAAACTGATCCCGAAACGCTCTGTGCTCCCTAAAGCACTGCGGTGTGGCAGGCTGTAGCTTTGGTCATTGCAATGCTTCTCTGTGCTGCTGGAGGTTTAGAGCCAAACAGAACAGCCTTGCAGTGCTTATTGATACGCATGAAATGGGGCTCAGGTCTCTGTAGCCCTTCCTGAGAAAGATGTCTGTGTAACATCACTGTCTGTGTTGAGTGCAGTTGAGACCTGAGTGAGTTCTGGTAGCCTTTGGAAAGGAAACTCATGTTTGCATTTGCTTTGCATCGCTCTCTCTATTGTTAGAACCTTAAATGAACCCTTTTTCTTTGGAATGGGGCTTTTCTTCATACAAATTCCTGATGCTGGCCTGAAAAAAGTCAGTTTGGCAACCCAGCTTTTGGAGATGAGCAAGGCGTATCTCCTCATTGCAGATGCTGTGAGCTGCAATTATGTTACTGTGATGGCCGAGCCCAGCCACACAGCTACCGAAACAGCACCTAGCCTAAATAACTGCTGAGTTGGTTGGGATGGGCAGGCTTTTTGTTTTGTTACCCCATGGAAACAGTGGCGCAGCCTTCAGTGAAATGGCAGGGCTGGTGGGTGGAGGGGGGAGCAGGAGTGCTCTGAACGGGCTGAAAGCTGCCTCTGGGGAGCTGAAGGGCAGTTATGGATTGAAAAGGGAGCTGCTGCGTCCTTCAGAAAGCAGAACGTGTATAAAGCATCTGTTCTAACATTGCCCTTTCATCCCCAGTTGTATTGCACTCTTCTATCTTCTGAGAGAAACAGAAGCATAAAGAAAATACCATTTGTGGGGGAAACGTGTCTCTGATTCCTTGGAAGGTGCTGTGTCAACCAATGGGTGATACAGACAAAAAAGACTTCTTGGCATTATATTAGTATTTAAGTTGGAATTTCAGCTGTAAAATGTGAGAATGTTTTTGCTCGTGAAACTAAATGAAACAGGAGCATTGCCTTGTTGCCTGATTTTCCTAGCAGAAGTTAGGAATCAGCTTTCTGCATAGTTAAAGGTGTGGAAATACTTAACGTCATGAAACCCCATCGTACTGCAGCAACCTGGACTGAGTCACACCTTCCCTGGGAACTGTACCTATAATGAACCAGGTAAAGCCCAAGATGAATGGATTCTGATGTGTCAGAGCAGTGGCAATGAGCACAGCTTGGTGCAGTCACAGTTACTTAATCTTCAGAGGTTACCCATCATTTTCCTTCTCCTTTCCTTAGCTCAGTGATGTCACCTGGGCACAGTGGCCATTTTCTTACAGCAGAATGTGTTGTTCTTAGTGTATGTACAGACCATGGCAGGACAGCCTGTATTTTGTTGGATGACTTGATGATGCGTGTTCAAAGTTTGTTGAATTAAATTCCTTAGACATTTTTATTTGCATCAAAGAAGTGAAGTTTTATTAATGACAGCATTATCAGCAGAATTCAAGCTTTTAAACAAAGATCCAGTTGACAAAGACAAGTTGAGTAAGGCCAGCATTGCAGAAGGGAAGGCGAGGCCAGCGATGAGCGCTGCTCCGCACTGCATCGCATCGGCTGCGCTGCAGGAGCGTTGGGTTCTGCCTCTCGTCCGTGGGTCAGCTCAGTGCATTTAGGAGGATGCCAGCATCACTGCTCTTGCTCTAGCACACTCTTGACTGCCCTGTGTGAAACCAGAGGAAATCATTGACTGAAGGAGAAATCTGATATTTCCAGCAGAACAGAATTTTTTCATCTATCGTGGTGTGTTACCAAAAGAACATGGGAGCAGTTCAGATGGCTGCAAGTGGAGCAGCACTCTAAGCATATTATCAGAAGTGGGTTTTTTAATTTACTCCTATTTTAGTAAGCTTTAATCTTTACGGCTATTATGACGAAGTGCAATCTTACCTGTCACGTCACCAGACTGGGATTGAGAGAAGGAACTAGAAGAATATGACTGGGAGGATTTTCCTCCTCCTTGGAAAGCTCCTTGGGAGGCACTGTGAGAGGAGAGCAATTCACCAACAGTTAAGAACAGCCACTGCGTACACGGTCAGAGAACATACTGCTGTTGAAGCACACAAGCAAACTCTAAGAAATTACAGACTCAAAGGATTCGCTTCATTCCCTTGCTCTTAATATGGTGTACATACGCAAGGTCTTGCTGTCCCTCGTGGAGCAGCGCCCGGTACTGAGCAATCTCCTGCTCCAGGCGGGTCTTGATGCCCAGCAGCATCTTGTACTCCTGGCTCTGGCCCTCCATCTCGCAGCGGATGTTGCCCAGCTCCTCCTCTACGGCGTTAATCTGCCCCTGGATTTGCTGCAGCAGGCAGCCGTAGCGAGATTCCGTCTCGGCCAAGGAGTTTTCCAGCGAGTCTTTCTGGAGGTGGAAGGCAGGGGGTCAGGACAGAGCTGTGCCCAGGAGGCAGTTTGCCATCCCGAGGAGCCCAGGCTCCGTGCTGCCCCGCGTACCGTGCTGAGCTGCGCCTGCAGCTCGATCTCCAGGTTCTGCATCTCGCGCTTCAGCTCGGTGAGCTGGTGGCTGCTGGTCTGGATGTCCTGGCTGCTGGAGGTGACCTGTCGATTGACTTCTTCGATCTG